TCTTCTAGATTCAAAATATTGCTGTCTTTTGTTTATCAGAAATTAAATAAATGTGTAGTGCCAAAAATATATAGCTCCCTATAAGAGATATAAATCTCAGTTTTTCTTTCTAGTTGCAAAAGGGCAAGTTAAGAGCAATTCCAATGATGGCAGTTGTGACACTTTTAAAACTGACATAATTGCTGTGGGAATTAAGGCTGCAATATATTTCTGAGACACCAAGCATTCAGGAGCTACAAAATTAAGCATAATAATGGTATGCATATTAAAAGTTGTGGTTAGTGTTTAGAACAAAGAATCAGGAGTCAAGATTGTTTGACTATCTTCTTGCCTATTGCACCAAGTTGCTTTGGTGAGTTTGGGCAAGACATTTGTCTCTATTCTGCATGCCCTGCTGTAACCCACCATCATCCCACCTTGCAGTGGCTCCTGCTAGTGGCCCTCTCCTAGGAGAGTTGGACCCCTGGCAAGAGAAGACCATCCAGCAGGACTCTCRTCACCTCACTTGGTCAGGAGGAAGGAGGACTTCTCTGCCCCAAACCCTGGTGGAAGCCCTGTAGCTCTGCAACCTTGCGCCACAGTATGTTGGCATTACACCTGCCCCTCAGAGAGCTCTTGATTTCCTGTGTGCTACCACCAAGCATGTGTAATATGACAGAACAACACAATGCTCTGTCTCTGTCCAAGATGATGTATATTGTACATGGCATGTCTTCAGGGCCATGAGAAAGTGATGCAACRTTGTCAATCTGTTTGGCTGATTTTCATTTTATCCAACAAAAGCAGTGCTTTCCAAGCTCTAACTAAGATAGAAGTGTCAGCTTCACCAAGATTCATTAGCTGGAGTAGGACTGTTTTACTAGGCGTGTATTTACAAGCCTGCAGCTGTGTCTCTCTTTTTGCATTGCTGAAACAGTTTAATGAAGCCGAGAAAGTCTACAYAAATTACTTTGACCATCTCATTCTTAAAGATAACTGAATTGTTCCTCCTATGGAATAAAAACTCTTTCATATAGAAAGTACTTCTAAGAAATGTATATTGCTAAAAAAAAATTTAACATAGATCTTTAACATTAAAACTTGTTAGAKGCAACCTTAATTGCTGTTATTTTTGTCTAGTTCAGGTTAGACAAATGGATCCACAAAGGGGACCAGTATGTTCATTTTCTCTTTCTGGCATTACTTTCAGCAAACTCATCACAGGCAGAGACTGGGGATCTCTGTGTTCATGGCGGGTATAACCACTTTGCATCAACATGTGGCCATGAAAGTACAAATTAGGCTTTGCAGGGGCTTTGTAAGCATGAGGAAAAAAAAAAAGAAACCATCCTTTTGCTGATCATGGATTCTTCCTCACAAAGCTCTGGTCATGGTGCAGAATTTGGCATGATTTTGTGTATCAAATGCATCCTGCTGGCAATCAATTGCAGCCACCAGGACCACTAGCGTGTTCCAGAAGTACCAGATTCCTTTGAACCAAAATGGAAATGCCTCAGCACAAGGCAAGTTTGCTCTTCTAAAAACAGAGCTTTTGCAAATAATTTGAGTATTGAAGGTGAAAAGAGTGAAAAAACTAGAAAAGTAGAATTGAAGTTTAATAGTCAGATTCAGCAAACAGAACAACTCTTTTGCAAGGAGATTCTGGCTGAGTAGCATCATTTTTTTCTTTGAAGAAGTAATGAAGCAATGAACATGAGCAGTAGAGAGAAGAAAAAAAAGGATGCTTAAGAAAATAGCAGCATCGATAGAAAAATATGGCTGGAACCAATTTTTCTGATAAACACTATTGATATTTAAAAAGTAAAATAAAATTGTTATCAACTTGCAAAAAGAAATGCAATACCAACTTCRTAAGACTCAATCCCAAAGAAATAAAAGAGTATTCGGAAAGAATCCTCATAAAGTTAAAATTAATTTAGGTTTGTTCTGGGCAATCTAACCCACGAACCAAAATAAAACACACAGATGAATACTGGGGGGAAAAAAAGAAAGAAAAAAACCCCCGCAAATTAGACTAGTGAAAATTCAGCTAAAAAACAAATTTGTGCAGCTAACTCCTAGCTTCTCATATTCAGCTAAGCCAAATATGTACAGCTTTTGATATGCATAAATATTTGAAAAGTTATCTCTTCCACTTGAATACTAGAATACTTGAATACTAGAATACTTGAATACCCACACTCTTTTTTTTTTTTTTTTTTTYCTGTAGATATGGATCACTTAAATCAAGAGGACTTGTAAGACTGGGTTGAAGGAATTCAAGGATCAGGGTCAGTATTAGAAATCCATCAGTTAGGTTCCATATCTTTGGAATGCATTCCAAAAAGATTTCATCCTGGCATTAAGAATTCCTAGATTATATGTGGGTGGTTTTCCAAATGTATAATCCTGGCTTATTTTCCTATTTCAAGTGTATTCAAAAAAGGAAATTAAAAGGCCACGGTAATAGATATGTTAATTTTGAATTGCTAACATAAAGCTGAGAATAATAGGTTTCAACTTTAATATCCAGTGATAATATGAATGATGGTATGAAATTTGATGGATCAATTTATGTATCTTGCCAATAGGTGGTGCTACTATTTTTGCATTCAGTACTAATCTATTGCAATTTATACCATCTGCTCAGACATTCATGAGCATGAAACAGTCTGATTCTTAATAGTTTTGTGTTTTTTTCCCCAAAGTAAAATGACACATGGTTATGCTAAAACTTTAATGGCCACAAATAAAAGCAGATAATAACAGATTTGGAAAATATGATCTTTTCATGGTTAGATATAAAATTTCAAAAAGTAGTTATATAATAAAGGAAAAAAGGCCAAAAAACTTGTGCCTAATTTTGTATATTTCCCATCTGTGAATCCTTTGAGGACTCTTGTTGATATTTTTGAGTAGTCAATATGAAAAATATCTTTGTTTAAGGGAACAACTGAGATTAGCACACGCTAGAGACAGAAAAGACTTAAAAAAATAAAAAAGGTAAAAAATATTCATTCAGAGTTGGGCCTTAAGTTACCTTAAGGCCTTTGAAATTTCTCTCTGCAGTACTTGAAATATAGGTAAATGGAAGAGCACTTTGTAACAAAAAACAGGCAGACATGCATGTCAGGGGCTTCATAAATACAGTTCTATTGAGTCTTCTATTACTGGATTCATAAGATACTTCCACGAAATACAAAATGTAACATGCATCAGAGGTSACATACAGTGTTTTGGAGCTTTATTATCACATGCTTCCCAAATTGGAAGGACACCCCCATCCAAACAAGATTTCAAACAGCACAATTTATACTCAGACCAGTTGCTCACTTGTAATGGTGGCCTCTTATGGACCTGCTCTGCTAAATTTTGGAGCAGCCAAATTGGGGCGCTGAGTGGCTCCTCTGGTGGATGCCAATAGGCACATGGTTGCTTTTTTTTCTCTTGTGCATGCACCCTATTTCACATATTTGTGTGTGTATATGTATGCAGAAAATATAAGCAGTGCCAAAAGTTTTAGAAAATACCAGATCTCTCCACAAATTGCTATATTTTCTTACAAGTGTTTTGTTGTATTTTGTTGGTTATTATATAGGTTTAGGAGAAGTACATGCAATGTATTAGATCATGTAATTAATTAAATTTGGGGCTCATCTGAATTTATATCCAGGTTTTGAGGAGGAAAGGYACAGGGAAGAAGGATGACTGTTTCCATTCCTTTTCTCTCCTAACAGGATATGAATGGGATTTAATAAGGCTGTATATTTGGTGCGGTAAAGAAGCAATAGCAAGTTGCATCTATCTGATAATAGGAAGTCAGTGATGTACAATTAATATTCAGTCTCAGGCTGTTTTTCCTCTCTAGCACTACACTTAAATTATTTTAAATAGCTTTTATCTTTAAATGATAGCTCCATGCAGAATTGGAAGAGCCTTGTCCTACACACTGATACTAATGATTTAAGCATTATTAAACAAATTAATTTTAAATTTTATGTCTGTGCTATTATCATACTTGAGTGAAAAGTGGATCAATGAGAAAATATTTCTCTGTGTCTAGATAATATTTCCTGAAGGTTAAATAGCAAGCGCTGGAATGATCTCAAATRCTTCCAAACATGAAGCATGAACACCTTTATTATAAAAACTGTAGTAGTGCTCAAAAKTCCTGCAGAATTTTCTATCTCACTCAGGAAGTACAGGCAGTCAAGGAAAAAACAGTGTGAGACTATTATTTCAGAAAACCATACAAAGCWGACAGTTTTATAAACACATAGCTGGTCAAATAAAGTTCATTAGTCCCATGGCAGGGGTGKGGGGGACTGAAAAGCAAGGGCTGGATGCAAAGGCAGGTGAAAGTTGAGCATGAGAAATGGAGGTTGGACTTATCAGTTAAAGCTAACTAAACAAGGCTTTTTATAGGTTGTTTTATTATGATACATTGTTTTTAGAAATTAATTTTGACCTGGAACATAACAGCATGAGCTGTAATGTTTTACTTTACGTGATACAAACAGCTCAGTACAGAAACCTTACTTATTTTGCTGGATAAATGGTGATTTAACACACCAGTTATAGGTGAAACTAGTATAAAAAAATGTTATGACTTGGAGATGAGATTTTGTTAATCCATTTGGTGCGAGTTGGCTTGACTGTATATAACTTTTGTCTTGAATAAACACTCGGCCAAGCAGCTTGCAAAGTGTGGAGTCCAGATGACTTCTAAATGCCTAAGTGCCAGAGATGATTACAGAAAGATACAGACTTGATTTCCCTCTGGAAAGCATTTCCTACTTTGCACAGCCCTAAGGGATGAGTCAAGAGTGCTCACTTAAGAAGCACCTGCAGGATACAGGGATTTTGTGCCCCATGCCAGGCAGTGTGCCAAGGAGGGAAGAGATTCCTAGTTTCTTGTGTATCTGTAAGTAACATGACTCCAAGCTTTGGCATAACCAAGTGCCGGGTGAGGTCTTCAGAGCATAGGTCTGGTGTACTTGTGCCTCTTGCAGGGGCTGAGAAGAAGAATTTGTGGTGTCTGCTGTCCTCCGGAGCCCTGGGCAAAAGGCTGGAAGTTATTGCCCAATTTCATTCCCAAAAGAACTTCTCGAAGGACATAATGTAAATGTCACTGACTCGCTTTAAATCAACGCAGCTTCTTGACTTCAGTGAAGTCGAGCTGATTTATGCTGGCTGATAATTTGGCTSTTTCTTAAAAGCCTGGATTCTGCAGTGCAACGCATGGTGGACTCGGTCCAGCACTATAGGAAATCAGGATGACTCTTCCCATTGACTTTATTGGGCAATGGCCTTGGTGAGTTATTACCGAGGGTTTTGTMTTGCAATGCACCGAACGGCAATCAATAATGCTTCATGACAGAGACAGAAAGCTTGCTGGTGAAGAAGATTTACTGTTTTCTGCTATCATAGAGAGATCACAATTTTCCAGCTGTGCAGTGACTTCTCTGCTTTTCTAAATCRTCTGCCCACTTGGAAGAGAGGCAAGACCAGACATCTTTCTGGTGCTCCTCACTAGGGAATGCTTCTGTAATCTTACATTTGAAATGTGGTACTTTGATTATGTTATGATAGGTACACATTTTTTTTATATAATAGAGTTGCAAACCCCCACATAAAAAGAAGTTGTGTATTTTTTCTGATTAATTTTCAAATACTTACTTCCCTAATGTGTATTTATTTATTTATTTATTTGCATTTTCACTAGGCAAATGRTATAAAATTAGGTCAATTCTTAAATATTTTTAACCTTAATTTGAGTTGGCTTCCAGTCGTTCTGAGATAACTAAGTTTATGTAAGGATTAGCTCTTAAAGTGCAGGATAGACTTACCGTAACATAGCAAAAAGATACTTAGCTTTATTTAGTGAAATAATAAATAGGGAAGAACTATAGTTAAAAAAAAAAACATATTTATTTTGTTTATTTTTATGGAGCCTTTTTTCTTCCTTTTATGGTTTAGGACATGGATTCCTGACCCCTATGCATGCAGTGATAGCCCTGAGACAGATCAGTTAGAAACGTCTGATAGGTAAGTGAATTAGACTTTCTGTTTGCTTACAAAGTGTGCTTCTGAACTTTTTGAGAGAAMACAAAAGATTTAGTGTATTTACTGTATTTAGTTATTTGTTCCTCCAAAGACTACTGTTCTGAAAAAGCTGGAGCATCAAAATCATTATTTTATTCATGAGGAATAATCARTATGTCATATAGATAAGCTGTTTTGTTTATACAAGAAATCTCTGTGACCATGTCAAAATTCTTGAATGGAGGAGGGGAAAAATGTATAATTCTAATAGGTTCTTTAGGTGTGTTTATAGTTCACAGGCCTAATAAATAAGAAATAGTTATTATGAGGGTTAAAGCATATGCCTGCACAGAGTTATACATAAGTAATTGCTAAAGGCTTTGTATCATTCTGCTGCTTGTGTCTTCCCTTTACCAAGACTTTYTGTTCTCTGTCAGAACCCTTTTCTTTTTCTCGGTCATCATGATGAAGAACTTCACTGTTTGGCATCTGTGAAAAGCACTTTTTTCTCCACAAAAGAGTTTACTCAAATGCTTTCTGATTTCTTTTAGGGGTGTAATACTTGTCCTCTCTATGGGAATAGTTTTTGCAGCTGAACCGTAGTTCAGTTCATAGTTGAACTGAACGGCATCCCTCCGGAGGGGTAGCTGTGTACACAAACATAAATACGGATTAACTAGTTTCATTTTTAGTTGTTTAGTTTAAAAAGCAAAAGAGAAGACCACAGCATTTATTTCCATACTCCTCCTTCAGTGATACTAGAGGCAAACACATCATTCAGCTAATCCTTTTTGCTGTACCGCTTACAGTGCTAATGCACCCTTATTCTTAAATATATGCATACTGTTAGTGAAGTGACACACTAGGGGGGAGAAAAAGGCAAATTTAACTAACTTTATAACCACCTCATTAATTAAAACATGCAGGTTTCATCTAGATCTCTCTAGGGCCTCAGTCAGACAGGTTTCCCAAAGGCAGTTTCTGTGATTTCAGCACGTAGGTGCTTTGCCCTTGCGGAGCTCAACTCAGCACCAACTGCCTTGTTCTTCCTAGAGCCTGGGAGTGAGAGGAAAGAAATAAGGATGCAAAAATGTAATAYCACTAATGTGATGTTAATTCACTGCTTTTCCTTCCCCTTGAGCGTAAGGTGGATCAGCAATGCTAAAACACACCAACCTGTTAGTTCTTTAGGAGTCCCAATCTAATTAGTGTACAGGATGCTGCATGCAGAATTATGACCAATTTAACTTCTCATTAATTGAACGGACGTGTTCTTTTTCTGTAAACATACATATATATACACACACATATATATAGATATACACGCGTATATACACACACATATCTCAAAAAGCTCAGAGTATACCGGGTTGTCCTGCTACTGAATGTTATAGTTCCCTGAGGCCACATATTATAGGGAAAGAAAAAAAGGCTTGATATCTTAAGTATTTGATACACAGTTTTGATCCCTGGTGGGCTGACGGTTCATGTGTTTCTTCTGAATTTCTCATCTGTAGAAGGTGCTAAAATGGGTATGGTTGAYGGGAGGCTTTTCCCAAGGAGTCCCACAGAGGTACTAAAAGGGTGAGAAAATTCAGTTCTCTCTTGCCTGGGTAGCCCCTGCTTGAATTTTTGAGTCCTAATTGACAGCATTCTGATTTCGGATCCTTATTAACTTAGTCCTTGCTGTTGCCATTGATATTACCAAGTTATTCCAGTGGTGCTATCGTCCATCCATTTACTACACTGAGACTGCAGCCTTCCATGTGGATTTGTGAGCAGGCAGCAGAGGCTGATAACTAGTGATTAGCTTGATCCCGATCAGAGCCACACTGCTCATCCCATGGGATGATGATCCGAGTGTTATTGCTGAAACACTGATTTCTCCAGCTCCTCTCTTTCACATTTTTGAACCATGTTTTAAAACAATTGCTCGAATCCTTGGTGAGTGTTTTTGAGGGCTTGAGGTGTGTCTGAGCTATTTACCAACTGCCTAACTGGACTGGCTTTGAAATCTTGATCTTTGGTCTGGATGGAGATTAGCTTTGTGACTTTATTTTATATTTCCTTTCATCTAAGGGGCTATTGCCTCAACTCACTGTGGCTGGGTATGGGCATTTTAATGGGAGCAGTCAGGTCCAGTAGCTGCTGAGGACCTTCCTAGATTCCTAGAGTCCAAGAAAAGGCAAATAAAAATATTTAGGAAGAGAAAACAGATTTTTCTTCAAGTTCCTAATATGAAAAAATGGTGATTAAGGTGAAAGTATCTGCACTGAGAACCCGTGGTAAAAAGAACGTTAGGAACTTACATTGGAGGTTAGTCTTTTCATGCTTTCCTCCCTTTTAATTATGGTAGTGAATTGTTGCATTATTTTAATGGCTTCCATAAATTACACCCCAAAGTGATGGCTTCTCAGTCACAGCTGATGCATAGCAATGTGTGTTAATTATAGTCATCTGGACTTCTTCAGGGGAAAAAGCAAAGCATTGTATTTGCCAAAGCATAATATATAAGTACTGAGCTGCCAAGAATAATCTGAAAGATTATTCTTCTTAAAGAGGAATTTGTTCTCCTGATAAGGAGGTAACAGCCACAACTGTCTATTACACATCCCTCCCTCTCCGTCCCACCTGACTGCTTGTTTCCATTCTGCTTTGAATTATTAAAGATCAGGATTTGATTTTATTTTATGGCATCTATATCCATTGATTTACGCTGTAAGAAGAAAATCCCTGAAGGATGTTTTTTTGAGGAAGTTCTGCATTACAGAGCCCAAAATTTCAACAGCTCCCATGTATATGTGCCTATCCCCACCCCGGGTTCTTGGACTGGAGTRTTCCTTATTGCTTTAAGTAATGATTTTTTTTCCCAAAAATATTTCATTAAGAAGTTGAATTTTTAGGGGAAAAAAAAAAAAGAAAAAGCCTTTTACAGTGATGATGGCCCTGATAATTTCCCAGATTTCTTTCAGTGAAAAAATAGTTCAGAATCTTTCTTTCAGAATTTACAAAACACAGATGGAAATTTGACAGGTGGTAATTTTTTTTTTTTTTACAATGACAATATGTCATATCAATAAAGATTTCACCAGAAAAGATGCATGSAAAGTGAGATGTTAAGAAAGTTCCCTGGACACTTAAGTACAGCCTGTTTACAGGATCTTGTGCTTACAGACCCTAATTCACTGAAGGAAATGGAGCAGGCATTAAAGCTCGGATCTTGACCRCTCCAAAAGGTTGCTCTGCATGACCACTTTTGAGGGAGAAAGGTACGCTATTTCCTACTTGTTTTTTTCCTGAAAACTTTCAAAGTAAATGGCTTCAGCCCAAACACAGGAGAGGCTTTTTGTTGTTGTATTTTTTTGGTAACCTCAGTTCCAGGTCTAATTGACACTACATTTATGCTATGCAGTGGCRGATTTTATATCTTTGAGCATTCAGTAGCCTATCAAAAGCATGAAATTGCTGTTTGAAAATGCCATTAAAAAACACCTTTTCATCTTGATAGTTCCTCTAAAATGTTAGGCTTTTAAAGTTCCATTTTTAGTCATGGATAATCCGTGTGCATTTCAGCACTGAGACTTCCCCATTCTGGTCTTTAGAGCAATAGCCGTTTTTGAGGTAAAATGAAACAGTTTGAAATAAAGGAAGAAACAATCCCCTGGCACTAGAGGTTTTTAAAACTGGCAGCTACCAGGAGGCATTAGGGTATTAGAAGTGCTGGAATAAAGCTGAGGAACATGTTAGCAGGCAGCAGAGGAGGTCAGAGGGAGACAATCCTGCTGTTGCAGCATCTTGGGCAACCAAAAACATGCAGCACCAGCTGCATGGCTATTGCCTCCCACTGTGTGCATTACCTGAATGTGTGTGGTGTGTGTGTGTCTAAAAATAAAAACTATTTGATAAAAGGACTGATGGTTTCATCTGCTGATACAATAACAAATTCAAATGCTATATTAAGATAACATTTGTATTTTTTGCTGTGATCTTAGCAGATGAATCTATCATCTAGTACATCTTTAGGAGTAATGAAACATATTTCTTTAATTTCCTTGCTTGTCATTTATACTAAAGGTTATTTTCACAAAATWTGTCAGGTCACTTACCTCAGTGAGCAATTCTCCGGCATTTAATCCCTGCACAGATCTTCGTTTGTGCAGTATTGTCCCTATAGCAATTGCATTTACTCTTAATAAGAATTTCTTTTATCACTCATTTAGATTCAAAAGACTATTCAGGTCACCTCACACAAATATTCCAGAATCACTAAAAATGTCATTGTCCTAAATCATATTGACTCTCCATTCCCGCCCCCCCTTCCTCTTTCTCTCTCTTTTTTTTTCCTCTCTCTTTTTATTTTTATTATTATTTTTTTTGTGGAGAAATGTTATTGGACACACAGAACATAGGTAGGATGCTTCCTCTTGCCTTTCAGTAATTCCATGTGGAATATGCTCTAATGCAAGGCCATTGTGCAGTTGATTTTTTTTTTTTTTGTAATTTTATTGTAATATCTGTTTCTCCTGACTATTCAATACTTATTTGTAKCATTTTTAGTGTTTTTTACAGAGAGTTAATGATTTGTAACAGTTTATTTTGTAAACAGAGATGTTTTGCTATTTTGAAATTCACTACTTTTTCAATGAATCTTGATCTTGTTGTACAAAAACTATTGTGATTAAGTATTCAGTGTGTAAGTTGCATAATTAAATACTATTTTCTTGTGACTTGCACAGTGAATCAGCATAACCTTCAACTTCAACTTTTAAAACACCTAAGTCAACCAATCAAAGAGCAGAAGCAGCACAGTGTAACCTGCATAAATAAAGCAACACAAACCACAGATTTAGCAATGAAAATCAGTTCACACATGTTCCTAGTGAGTAATAACCCCTGGATATTTTTCCTAATGAAATGCGTTCCTTAGTGTTTGCAAATAAAAAAGGAATAAAGGTGCTTCATAAATATGTTTTATATGTAAATATATATTTTTAAATCAGTCT